CAGCTCAGCTGGTCCTTCATGTAGTGATTCAAGCATTGTAGCGGAATTTTCTTTGTGTTCGAGGAAATTTAGGAATCGATTCCTCCACATATGATATTCTCCTTTCCTTAGACTTGGAGGAGTACTGCTGTTCCCTTGGGCATTGAATTCAGAAGCCATTGATGTAGAAAACTGACCGTTCGGGATATTTGATCAAAAGATTTTCAAAGGCAGGAAATCGAAATTTCAGATGTCGAGATCTGAATATCGAGATTCAAGATTTCGATAAAAGAGGCCAGATATCGAGATTTGATATCGAGATATCAAGTGTCGAGTTTTGGTCTCGAGATTTCAAATGTCGAGATTCAAATGTCGAGATTTGAAAAATCGAGATTTAAAACTCGAGAAATGTTTTCGAGATATCAAATGTCGAGGACCTGAAGTCGAGACCTCAAAAATCGAAACCTCAAACTCGAGATTTGGATGTCGAGATCCTCAGTGTCGAAATCCTGCAAAGTGAAAATTTTAGGTTAACAAAATCTGAGGGTAGTTTCTGGTAGTGTTTGATGTCGAGATCCTCAGGTGAAGTTTTCAGCTCGAAAAACTAGGCAGAACCTGTTCAAACAGAGATCTCGAGTTCTTGATCTCGAGATATCTCAAGTACAAAAATTACAGAATAAAATATCTGAAGTATACACCTTGATCGTTTCGAAACGACGATTCTAAAGGTATAACTTTTACAACTTTTCGACAAGAAACAAGATTACAGAGTATGAACTCGAGAGAAACAAATACGCAAAGAAAAACATAGTTTTTCTGCAGACGTTCTTCTGATCAGCTCTCAATCGGCTCTGATACCATTTGTTAGTCCCTGTTTTCTACTACAGCAAAGATTAACAGTATAACAAGTAGAAGATTAACAATAAAGATGAACACAAGATGATCGATGATAACCTTCCTTGATATACCGTGAACTCGTACAGAGAAGAATATTGCGCTAAGGCTATTTGGAACGAGTACGAAAGTTAACGCAACCCTAAACCTGAAGCGCCTTTTTATATGCGCAGGTATAGGGTTGGCGGAAAGGCTTTCAGCCTGATTGGGTCTGACACATTGGCCCCATATCCTTTACCCTAGTAAATACAAATATTGAATACAAGGATATAATAAAGCTAATCTATTACAAGATATGTGACAAACTTGATTCACAATTAAATGATCTTCAACAAAGGATATGAGCAGAGTCATTGTTTCCAAATCTAACTTTCCCACCAAACTTGTCAACGTAGTTGCTCAACAGCACTTTCTTTCCAGTCATGTGTGTGGAGCAACCTGAATCTAAGTACCACACATGACTGACCTGCAAAATTAAGCAGCCTTAGGTACCCATTTAAGGACGGGTTCATCCTCTTTATGTGAAGAAAGAATTGAATCAGTTTTAATTAGATCACTTTTTGGAACCCAGACTTGCTTGACTTTATGAAATTTGTTTGAGTGATTCTAGAATTGTGAGTGTGATGTTTCAGAGTTTATGAAAACTTTCTCTCTTTCTAATCTTTTGAAATGTTTGACAGAATATACCTTGAGAGGATAATTCCGACATACACCATTACATGAAGAGAAAGTAACACAATCATTATCAGCATTCACATCACACACATCATGCTTGGAAAAAGGAGAAGAATTTAATTGATCACGCTTAAAAAAATCATTTGAATAAAAATTCATAGAACTGAATTGAGAAGTAGAAAGCCTAGGAGAATAGTTAGAAACAGAACTAGAGGAAGTAGCAGAAGAACTAGAATGAAAACAATTTCTAAACCTATTAAAAGATTTTTCCATAAAATTAAAGAGTTTAGAAATCTTCTTTATCTGCTCAGGTCTTGTATCCTTGCTTGAAGACTTCTTTGGAGTCCAGTTCATCCTTCATGCAGTGGATTTATAGAAACATTTTCCTGTATGTGGAGAAGAAAATAAGTTCCTTTCCTTTTTAAAATTATTTTTCTTTGCATGCTTATTAGAAAAGGAAGTGTCAGGAGATTGTGAGCTTTGAGAGGATCCGTCAGACAATTCAGAAATTTTCTTTAAAAGGTTTTCCTTTTCAAGTTTAAACTTTTCACGTTCCTCTTCAAAAGATGAGTTAAGGTCAGCTAATTTCTTAACAAGAGGAGGAACGTAGGGTTCAGAAACTTTTGAGGTTGAGCCTTCTTCCTCACTGGACATGTTATGATTCTCAAGAGGAGAATGGGTAAGATAGTCATTTGACAAAGGAATTTCTATAGTGGCATAGCTGTCATTGAGAGCAGTATAATCAAAACTAATTTCAGTTCCCTATTTTTCTTTTTATCCTCTTCTTCTCAATAGTTTCAGAAGCACTAGTGAATTTCATAAGTTTAGTCAACCCTAAGTTCATGTACCTTATGTCGTACAATTGAATGCAATAAACCTTTTTCAAATTCACAGGGTTTTGAAAACCTAGTCCTTCTCTAGGATCGTAAAACTGAGTATCCTTGATTTTACTGTTCAAAAGATGAATTGTCTGTTCGGTTTGACCTTTCTTGGCTAAGATGTCCTCTAGCACCTTTATCTTCGAGTAAAGTTGACCTCGTTCTTTGTTAGTAAGATCATATCGAATAACAGCTTCAGAACGTTGTCATTTATTCTCATCACGTTCCTTAGTTAAGTCACTAACAGTTTGCTTAAACTTAGTTACTTCTGACTCTAACTTAGCGAGCGGATTCAAGAGCTCCTTCTAACACTTGTTTTTCCAGAACCTTTTGATTGTTATCAAGTCTGTCTTCCAGTTTCTTTATCTTGTTTTTGTCTCTTTTTAGAGAAGTGATTAACTCTTTCATTTTGTGGTTTTGTTGAGATATTAAAGAGTTTAGGTTACTTACCTCATTTTCAGTAGATGTAGGAGCATTGTCTTCTTCTTCAGAGTCTTCACTATCACTTCCACATCCAGTTACTTTTGCCATTAGAGCCAGATTCTCAGGCTCACTATCTTCAGAATCTTCAAGCCAGCTATCATGTTCAGCCATTAGGACAACCCCTTGCTCCTTTTGTTTAGCGAGTTGTGCCTTCTGCATGTTGTAGTTGAAATCCTTCTTCTTGGCAGATCGGCACTCTTTAGCAAAGTGTTCAGGCTTGCCACATTTAAAGCACTTCATTGAGTCACTGTTGATAGCCTTATTTGATGGTCTTCTAACTCTTTCAGAATAATTTGAGGAAGAGGTTCTTTGTTTGTTGTTTGTGGCAGGATTTCTAAACATAGTGAACTTCTTGTTTATTTTCCTCGTCATGTTGGTTAGCATGGCCAACTCTTTCTTCAGCTCATTAATCTCCGGGTCAGAATCAGACATGTTTTTCTCTTTATCGGATGCGTCATCTTCAAAGGAAATTTTAGGGGCTTTTTCCTTCTTCTTCTTCTCAGTTGAGAGGAGGGCAAGTTTGTCAACAACGTTCTTTCCCTATGACGAGTTGATCTTTTCACGAATATCCTCAGAGAATTCCCCAAGACAGTCATAGAGATTGTGGATGGTCAACTCATCTAGATCTTTGTTTTGTCTGATTCGTTTGGCTGTTTTCTTCCATTCGGGCTTGAGAGACCTTAGGAAGCGAAGGTTAACATCCATATTGGTTTTGCGGATGTTGATCTTTTTCATCTCATTAAGGACCGTGAAAAAGCGTTGATAGGTATCTTCCATCTCTTCATCGAGTCTAGCAGCAAAGGAGTCATATGCAGTCAGGGTGTGTGCTCGTTTGGACTTAATTCCAACATCAGTGCCTTGCATGATCTGATGAATCTCATCCCACAAGTCCTTAGCAGAGGTAAGGCTATCAATTTGCAAAAACAAGTCATTGCGAATGGCTTGTAATAAATAAGTATGTAGCAGCAAGTAGATCAACCTTTGCTCTCACTTTCTCGGGTTCAGTGTAATCATCCTCAGATTTCAATGTTTAACCAGCTGGTGTGGGAGGATTATTTGTTGTGATGGCTGGATCATCAACCCAAACTTCGAGTGGTCCTTCATTAAGAGTGATCAGAACATTCTTTCCATTGTCTCGGCTTTGAATGAAATTGAGAAAATGGACTTTCTTGATCTTTAAAGGCGAGAACTGTTCTGTTTTAGAAAAGATTTCGGTGCTGCTTTAGAAGATTTCAGATGAAATAAAAGGATTTCGGTAGTGCTCATCTCGGATGACAATTTCGGATGTCCAAAATAATGATTTCGGAGAAGCTGATTTCGGGTTTCTGAATTTGGAAACTCGGATTAAGATTTTGGTCTTCCGAGATTCGGAATTAGGAGATGATTTCGGGCGTTCGAGAATGATTTCGGAATACTGATTTCGGGTTTCCAAAAATAGAAACTCGGATGTGCTAAGTTCGGATGATCTGCAGAGTTACAATTTCGGGGCTTCGAAATCTCAGGATTTCGGATGGATGAATTCCTGATGATCTCGGATGAGCGAAAATTAGGTAACTTGATCTTTACTGGGATACTCCTTCCTTATTGTAGAAACCTTCTAAAACAGTAAGTTTCCAAGAACAAATCTAGAGATTAATTCAACCAAAAATTGTGTTTTTCATCAAATTAATTTCAGAAAAATTCAAGGATTCTCAAGAACAGAATTGCGTCGAGGCTCTGATACCAATTATTTGATGTATGCCCAGATTTCAACAGTCGAATAATCTAAGAATAATATGAAGAATTTAAACAGTAAACGAGAAATCTCACCAATAACGTATACCGTCTATATATAATGATGAATCCATGAAGAACAATACACAGTACTCGAACGAATAAGCTTGAGAGAGAATTTCTAATGTACTAGCTCTACAGAGAATAATATACGGAAATAGATTGTGTAGAGAGGCTTAGCAGTTTTCGGCCATCTCAACTTGTATTTATAGGAGAGATGTTCGAACTGTCTAATACAATTAGGAAACAGAGTGGGCCGTGCGAGTGGGCTATGTAGAGCATCTAAATCAGGCCTAATTCTCTCTCAGCTAATCTAATTAAATACAAAGACTCATTAATTAAATTACAATTAATTTGAACACAATAAACAAATAATCTAACACCTTCTTAAGTGAAGATAATAAGGGTGAGGTCTTTGTGACACTTCGATATGAAAATCAGAGGTGGATGTTTCTACAGAAAGGAGTTCCTTACGGCAATCAAGATTTTTATATGGCGTTTTGAACTTAAGATTATTTATTTTCAGCATGCTAAAATTTTGTGTATTCATTTTGAACTTTTTATATGTTTGTTTAAACTAAAATTATGTGGATTGTGATGTTTTACAAACATCTCGTGTTATCGTTGTTATAGCATGTGTTTACCATTTGTTTTAATGTGCATTGGAATTCAATATTTTACTTGTGTAGAATGAATGTTGAAGTTAGACGGTCATGTCTAATTATTGCATTAGAAGAGCTCAGATCTTTACTATAAGATGATCAACAAAAGAAGACTAGGATACCAATGAGAGTAGGTGGAGAAACATGAGGTGAATATATACATAGAATGTTGAATGGTTATCCTCGATTGTGTAAAGAGAAATTAAGGTTGACGAGAGAAATGTTCATCCACCTTGTGAATATTATGGTTGAAAGAAATTTATTGAAAGACACCAGGTTCATTCATGTGGCAGGGCAAATTGGAATTGGTCTCTATATATTGGTCAAGGGAGCTTCTTACCCAGATGCAATTGATGTTTTTAAGCATTCTTTGAGAACCATATGCAAATATTTCAATCTAGTATTGCATGCCTTGGTTAAGTTGTCTTTTGACATAATTCGACCACATCACAATTTGTTGGACGTCCACACCATAGTTTTCAACAGTTCCTTATATTGGCCGAATTTCAAGGTATATTTATGAATTATTCAACGTTTTTAAAAGTCAATGAAAACTAATTTATTTTTGCATGTGTTTGACTTTATTTATGTTTTTATTTATTGTATTAGGATTCAGTTATAGCATTAGATGGTACTCACATAGAAGCAGTTATATCAGATGCAAAGGGGGTGCCGTTTCGAGGACGCAAAGGAATCAAAACCTGGAATGTCTTAGCATGTTGTTCATTTGATAAACTATTTACGTTTGTCAATATTGGCTGGGAAGGAAGCGCTCACGACGTACGAGTGTGTGTTGATTCCTTAATGCAATCAAAATATCATTTTTCTCATCCCCACCAGGTATAAAATACAAATAAATTTATTATTAAAGGTTTTTTGTAAATATAAAATAGTATCCTTTTAACAAAGTCAATTTAAAATGTAGGTAAATATTATTTAGTAGATTCAGGCTATCAAAACACACTTGGATATTTAGCTCCATTTGATGATGCGGGAATGAGGGGGGAAACACGTTCTAGAATTTCATGACGGTGGTAAACCAAGAGGAGTAATGGAACATTTTAATTATCGTCACTCATCACTGAGAACTACCATTGAAATAGCATTTTCGCATCCGAAGAAAAGGTGGAAGATACTTCACAATATGCCCAAATGAAAGAAAAGCATCAACAAGCAATTATTTTCTCTACTTTTACACTTCATAATTTTATCACCATGTGCAAAATGTGAATGCCAATTTATGAACATGAAGGGAATGGAGAAGGCATGGTTGATTCAGATAAGTTCAACAATGGGCGAAAAGAAGTTATGAACAATGTTCGCGTGGAAATTGCGAGACAAATTTGGGAAGACGTTCAGAAACCAGAAGCAACGGATGCATGATGATATTTATTATTTTATAGTACTTTTTTTGTTCTAAAAAGATTCATAGTTTACCCATTATTCATACAATTTTTTTTACAAATCAAGATTTTATTTATTTATTTTTATTTCTTTGTTTTTTACAAATCAAGATCATCTATATTATTCTGTCACTTGTATGACTTAAAATACAAGTGACAGAATAAACCAAACAATAATAAAATAGTAAGTGTACTAATAATAACAACAATAACACTAATAATAATAATAATAATAATAATAGTAGTAGTAGTAGTAGTACTAATAAAAGTAATAATAGTAATAATACTACTACTAATGATAACAATAATAACAATAATAATAATAATAGTAATAATAATAGTGATAATAGTAATAATACTACTAATAATAATAACTATAATAACAATAATAATAATACTAATACAACAACAACATCCAAGCCTTAATCCCAAAAGAATTTGGGGTCGGCTAACATGAATCGATCTATGATATCGATGCCAAAAAGAGAAGGCGGACAAGAAAAGGAAAAAAAACTAAGATAAAATGAATAAAATAAAGATACATAAATATAAGATAACAATAACACAAGAATATAACCAAGATAAAAGAAAAATAAATAAAAGAGCATAAAAAGCTAGAAGATAAATCTAATAATAATAATACTAATAATAATAAATAAATAAATAAAAAATGGTCTGATTTGGTCTGATCTGGTCTGGTCTGTTTTAGTTTGTTCTGTTCTGTTTTGGTCTGGTCTGGTCTGGGACAAATTACGGTCCAAGTAAAAGCAACCTTCATATCCATGTGATGATACTTTCCTACCAAAAATGTTCTGACAGTTGTAGTTTATAAACAATCTCAATGGGTCTGATGTTCTTTATAATGCAAATGGTATATATTTCATGTTCACTAAGTACTATTTCCATCAATTTGTCTACTATTTTCTTTCTACTTTTATAATAAGGCAACTGAAGTTTTAAATTAACATGCATGGACTTGAAGCTTTGGATGATCTTTTTGCTAGATGTCATTTTTGCTTGGGAATTCTCCGTGCTTTGTTTTTATGAATAGTTATCACCATACCAGTTACATTCCATTGTTCAAGGATTTTTTCCCACATGTGCGGTATATATTGGGTTGATTTATTTGTATCTCTTCTTCATTATCTAGGTGATTATTTTTATGAAATCTTAAGTTTACCTTTATTTTATGGTCAAGGATATTTCTTTTCTTCGATTCTACTTCCTTTTATGATTAGGAGTCTGACAATTCAACTTACAATGGTTTGGACTGTTTCAAAAAGAGGGTGAAATCAGATACTCATGGACTGTAAACAAAATCTAAAGCAAAAGCAGAGCACCTTTTATCCATTCCTATGCTTTCACTAAATGTATATATGTTACTGATTAGATATGAAAATAAGCATAAAAATGAAAACATGTTTCTCTTGGACTTTCTTCCTAAGCTTTCACTATATGTGTGTGTGGATATAAAGATGTTACTGTCTGATTATTTATGAAATGAAAGCATGATTCTCTTGGACTTTCTTAGCTTCCTATATTTTTTAGTTGTTTCAATTGTGGATGCATGCTTTTTTAATGAAATTTCAGGAAGAAACCAAGTTCACAAATCAATGCAATGAAGTAAAAGTTGCTGCAACTGTTGCTACAAAGGATGGCAAGTTTTCTGCAATTCTTCTTCCTTTTTCTTTCTAAAATGAATTGAACTTAGTTGTTTGTATGTAACCCTAAACAAAGCAGTATTAAAACATAATTTTACCTCGAGAGTAGTATAAACGGTCACAGATAAAATTATATTTTATTTTCTTACCTCGAGAGTTTAGTTTAGTTTCTTTAATATTGTTTTCTAAGGATTGAGAATGATATGCGTTAGTAATGATTTCCTATCATTCATTTGGTTTAAAACACACATACTTTAAAGTAATATTCAGGTAGATTGAAATTATTCCATTGGTTTGGACATTTTGTTTGTTTCAGTTTCAGAATGATAAGAAAACGGGATTAGCTATTTTCATAGCTTATGAATACTGGAACATTTTTCAGCTGTTTACTATTACTTTTGATTTGTCCAACATGAGCATCAGTTTGCTCTAATAATATGATCAGGGCTGTCTAATGAATTTGAAGGCCCCAGTTCTAAATGTAAATTAAGGCCCACATTAATATGAAAAGTTAAAAAAAATCTCAATCTAAATACGTAGACTGAAATCAATTGAATACACGTTAAAAGAAAACCAAAAGAGTGAAAGGACCAACGAAAAAAATGATGGATCTATATTTTTCTTCCTTACTAAATGTATTTTATTGATTAGTATTAATATATAATACTTCCTCCGTCTCTTTTTAGTTGCAACAGTCAACATTTCACGTTTGCCAACGCACAACTTTGACCGTCATTATATTTAATTTTGTATTAATAAAAATAAAATAAAAATCAGATTATAAAACCTAGTAATGAGACGAATTTAACAATATTTTTCAAAAAAATAATTCACATACATTAATAAATAAAATGTAGTCAAAATAAAGTACATGAATAGTGTATATAATTCAATGTTGCAATTAATGAGATGCGGAGGATAGTATTACTATATAATACTAATAAAATTTAAAAAATTTGGGGCCCCGTAAATCCGGTGGCCCTGTTCTGGATAACCTATTGAACCCCCTAAAAAACGGCCCTGAATATCATTTACAGTTCTACCTTTTTTGTTGTGCTCCAGAGTAACAATTTGAAATCAATCAAACAAGCTGTCAAGATAAAAAAAAAATGGATAGTAATGTACTTTGAGTTATGCAGGTAATTTTCTCATATGGTTGGGGTTGAAGTTTTCACTTATCTAGATTACCTTTGAGTTTAAAAGTTCAAACGTTTCATTAACAAATCAGAATTCAGTAATTTTCCCTGTCATTCATTTTTTATCCTTCCCATTTTCCATCTTCTTACTCTTCCACTATTCAATTTTCACCCTGCAAACATATGACTTATGTATATACGAAGTTCATTTTAGCTATCTAATTTTGGCTTTGAATACCTAGGCTAGATGTTTAATTTTGGTTTTTCTTATGTAATTTAGAAAATCACTCTGAACCAAAGGCTACTCCCCCACAAGTTGATCATATTGAATTGGATTTTAAAGTATGGTTCAAACGCTTTTGAAGGGCTGGAATAGTTTCTTATGATTGCTATATTCATTTTGATTTTTTATTGATTTTGTAGTGATGGAATTGATTTTGGTCTTTCAAATGTTTATCCACAATTTTTATGTCCAGTTCTTTTCACTTTTCTTTTCATTTCAACCCATATCATTTTCATTTTTCTCTTAATTTTACAGGATATGCATTGGTGTGATTCTCTCAACTTTTTCTCATTTTAGTAATGTTGGTTCTATGCAATTGCCCATAAATGATTGAAAATGTCTTCAGTCAACCTCATTTCAGCTCAGGTATGATATTTCAATTTACATTATTTTAATTAGCTTTTAAATGCCAAATATCCTACATAGTATTTTTTAACAGTGTTAGGATCTATTCTAAAATTTGCCAATGAACGTTGCCTTTTTTATTTCAGAGGACAATCAAAAGATTTTAAATGTCAAGCCGGTTCAATTAATATGCTTGACTTTGATTATCTGAACATGGAAACCATACCTCCCAATACGCATGTGGTTACGCATGTGCATTCTAGTATATCTTATCCATGACGGGTGATGACGTGGCAGTACTTCCTTGTGGTGCTGGTCCTTGTGGATTTCGTCTAAGTCCATGATGCTTCACTCAGACCTTGGGGGTCACCGAGGTCGATACCTGGGAACTCGGGCTCGTGCTGAGAAGATTGAGCCCTTTGTTCCCGCTTTTGAGGTAGTCATCTGCCCGGTGCTTGCCTCCTGTTAACCATGTGTTTGACTTCCGGAGTCAGACCCGATACCGAGCTCGGGTGACTCAAGGTCGGACTCATATCTTGTCGAGTTCGGTTGATTCCTGAGCCTGGTGTTTTCCCGACCTCGGTGGTCAAGGTCGGGGTCGGGCGACTTCTCGATCCTTAGCTTATTTTGTTGACTGGCGCTTGTTCCTGACCCTGGCTGGTCGGGGTCGAGGTCGGTTATAGTTGTGGACTTAGTCTTTTTGTGTACTCCGGAATGGGTCCGTGATGCTTTATACTGGCGATTATGATACCCCTGGGGTATATGGGAATATACTCCATCATGAGTCCCCCACTCTCCGAAGCGAAAGTGAAACTTGAGGTGAGAGAGAGTGTTAGTACCCAATTTTGATAGATTTTGATGATGCCACTATACTATGCATTTGTACATTGTGTCTCATATGATAGCAATTAAATTTAAGTGACACAAATAAATGTACAATTTTTGAGGCTAAAGAAATATTACCGGAAAAGTAAAAATGCAATAAGGTAATTTTTATTTACCTTAATAGGGTATTTAGATCCTACCGGCATATATTATTTAGCTCAAAAATTAATTAAATGTCACATTTTATAGAAAAGAAACTAAGGTCGAAAATCAAATACATAAATGATTAAAGACAAAACTTGACCGGTATTTAATACCGAATCAAGTACTGAGGGCCGCAGCACGGGATGCACACATAGAAGATGCTTCAGCGGCCAAAATTGTTGAAGACAAAAGAACCGTCCCAATAAATGCTCCAGCACAAGAAGATGAATGTACAACTTGTCCTTGCCAGATTTTCAACGTCCAAGATCAATCTATCCTAACCAACGGATAAGATTGATCAGCCAGAAAAGCCTATAAATACAGGCTGAAACGAAAGTTTCTAACCAAGCTTGAGCATCCTAAGTAGAGAAATATTTTCATTGAGCATTCACGAGCTAATTAACTAGCAAAAGAGAAAGTGTGAATCTATACTTTACTCTCTGCTTAGACTCATGCTTCACTAAACTTCTTAGACACAAGTATTCATTGCTAAATCCTAGAAGTTTAGTTCCGAGTTGGAGGTTAGAACTTTCTTGTATCAAATCACAAATTGTTGTAAACACTTAGGAGAATA